GAGAGAGAGAGAGAGAGAGAGGGAGAGAGAGAGAGAGCAGACTGGCTCACATGCTGCTCATCAATCAATACCACCAATGAGAATGCAGCAGGAAGTACTCCTTTCCCTAGGCAGTGGTTGTAAAAATCAACAACACATACTTTTAAAGTACCAATAAACTCAGTAAGATAAAAAAAATCAACAAACACAAAAACTAACTTCATCTGGAGTAATTTTTTTCTACTTACTGGAACAAATATACTCTGCGAGCTTTTCAGCATTTCCACAGTTTTCTCCTTCAAAATCCAGGCCAATTTTATTAACTGGAAGACAACAAAGAAGGCATTTCTTTAAATGATTTATTATAACCACAAGTCCTGATGTGATATGTCATCTTCACTAGGTAAAGAACCACCTAGCAGATTAGTAAAGCATGCTGTGTATGTGTCTTGGTGGATCACAGAGGCATGGCCTTGGGTATGATATATGGTCCCTTGTCCCTTCCTCTCTGGTGCTTTTCCCCTGCTCTTCTTCCTGACCACCATGAACTAAGTAGCTTTACTCTGCCATGTTCTTTGACCATGAGCTTTCTTCCTTAGAGCCTGCAAACCATGTACTGAATGTCCTCAAAACATGAGCTAAATTTAGCCTTTGCTCCTTTAAACTGTGCTTTTCAAATACTATGTTCCAGTAACAGGATAGCTGACATTTACAGAAAATTGGTGCCAGCACTGAAGTCATTACTGTGACTACTACACCTGATCATGTAGTTTAAAAGCCTTTGGAAATGACTGGCTGAGTTTGGAAAAGTTGGGAAATGTGGGCTAGAGTGGCAGAATGCATTAAGCAGAACCCATTAAATGATTCTAGTTAGAGCTTAGAAGACTAGAATGCTGATAGGAATGTGGACAATAAAGGCCAGGCTCGGGAGATCTCAGTTGGGAACAAGTACTTTGTTGGCATTTGGAGTACAGGCCATATGTCTTACACTGTGGCAGAAAATTTCATTACATTTTGCACCTGTCCTGCCTGAGACTTTTCAGGAGCCTGAGATTAAGAACAGTAGACTAATTACTCTAACAGAGGAAATTTCAAGACAGCCCAACATTCAGACTGTGGCGCTGACACTATTAGATGCTTTTATCAAGATTTATAATGAGATTGGGGGCAAAAGGTAGAGCAGAAAATTTTGAAAAACTTAAATTTTGGTCCTGAAGAAATCATGTATAAAATTGGGGCCAAAGGAGGTATGGCTGCTAAAGAGATTAGCACCATTAAAAACAAAGAAGGTACTTTGTACAGGGATAAAAAGATGACTTCAGGGCATCTCAAGAACCAGCAAGATGTCAAAGGCTCAAGGATACAAAAGTGTGAACCTTTCCTTTGAGAAGAAAGGACCTCCTAGGGAACAGGTTCCCTGGGATTCATTTCCCTGTGCTCAGCCATCTAGACACTCAGAGGATACTGCAGTCATGAATCGAGGGGCCTAGCTAGTGCTTGAACTGAAGCCACCTTTGGTGTCATCACATGGTGCTGATTTTCCTGACATGCAGCAATTCTTACCCTAAGAATTGGGGGAAGAGTTAGGAAGGCTTCCACCCAGATTTCAAAGGAAGGTTTGGGAAGCCAGGCAAGGAGCGTGAAAAGGCAGTGCATGAAGCTGAGGGAATGAAATCAAAGGTGCAGTGCAAACCCCAGAAAGTCAGAGATGTCAGGAATGTGGAACATCTACTGAGGAAAGCTGCAGCCCCAGAGTGGAGCCACTCCACAAGAGAGGCTATATGGGGTGCAACCAGCAAGGCTGTAGGGGTGGGGCTGCCCACAATGTTTGGCACTCACATTTTACAACTGTGTATCTTTGGTGCCAGATATGCAGTTACAGAACTCAATGTTTGCACTGGTACGTTTTAGTCTTGCTTTGATTCGATTCTTTCTATCTCATTAGCGCTCCTTTTTATAATAAGAATATTTACCCTGTGCCTTTGTACCTTAGGATTATATAACTTGTTTTTAATTTTTATAGAAGTTCACAGATAAGAGTTTGCCTTGAGTCTCAAAAAAGATTTGAACTTTTGAAAAATGCTGGAACTACTGACACTTTGAGGAAGGAATTATCTCATTTTTGGTTGTACTCAGCATAGTTGTACTATGAATTATGAATCTGCTATTATTGTCTTTATTTGGAGATTAAGTATGGCTTAAGGAGATGTTTTGGGGTAGAAGTTGACAAGAAATGCATAACAACTATTAACCCTGATATGTCATCTTCATTGGATTAAGACATGCCTACCAGATTAGTAAAGCATGCTCCTGGTATGTCTGGGTGGGCCATGGAGGCATGATCTTGGGCATTATAGATGGTCCCTTGCTCATTTTTTGCTGGCATTGTTCCCCTGCTCTGTTTCCGAGCTGCCATAACTAAGTAGCTTGCTCTGCCATGCCCTTCCACCAGAAGGTTTCTGCTTTGGATCCTGCAGATCATGTATAGAATCTCTTGAAACTGTCAGCTAAATTAAATCTCTAAATTAAGCTAAATTAAGAATATATGCATGTGCTTTATAAATCACACATAGAAAATTTTCCTATTGAAGGCAGAGCTGAAAGATCATAAGAATCGATTTAGGACATGAAGGTGCTACAACCCCTATCTTGCCTAGATGTGAGGCTTCAGGTAAGGCCTTTGCTAACTTCTCTGAATCCCACTAGTTCATCTAAGAGAGGAAAATGCCAAACCTAAAACTATTAAAGGATTACACAGGATGATAAGAGCAAACTGCTGGCTACCTAAAATAAGCTCAATATAGGCTCTTATTTTATCAGTCAGGAGATAATGTGCATTCGAGATCTGTCAATTTTGTTTTGTTTTTTGAGTCAAGGTTTTATTATGTAGTTCAGGCTGGCTTTGAACTCACAATATAGCTCAAGTTAACCTCAAAAATCACAGTGATCCTCTTACTTCAACCTCCTGAATGCTCTGATTACAGGCATATGCCACCATGCCCAGGTAGATCTATTACTTTCTGCAAGAATATCAGGGATCCCTCATTTTGTTAGGGAGAAAAGGCCCGTTCCCATCTAGAAAGGGGTTGTGGTCTTATAGGAAGAATGAAATGGCAGGGAAAGGAGGAAAGGTTTCACAGTAAATGCAAGTCATTTAGGATGTGGGGCTGTCCCAGTCACTTTTATGAGGTTCCTATTCATGAATTGAGTAAGAAACAGAATGATCCAGGCTCCCTGCTCTTTTCCAGACAGTGAACGCATGGTCACTCTACAGATGATGCTGAAGAAGGAAGGGCCCAGGGCAGCTTGGTGGGCATTGCCAGCTATGCCCATGAATGCAGGACTTCCCTGAGAAAAGAAGTGCTGTGGGCATCCCATTTAGGAGCCACACAACAGGCTGGCCAATAACAAACCACAGCTTCTGTGTGACCACTATCAGCTTTCAACTTATGGCGAAAATACACTGAGTCAAAGAGAAAAAGTCTCACGCAGGTGTAAACTCTGCTCAGGAACAAAGACCTCTTCATGCTATATTGCTACTCTAGGCTGAGACCCTCATCTGTTTGAGCCCGGAAGGGCCAAGTACACCAAAGAGTCCCAAACCTAGTATTTGAGCTAAGATAAGAGAACCTGCAATGCAGATGGTACTTAATGCACAGTCTCTCCTGTAGAAGTTTCACTTTCTGCTGTTTCACTTACCAGTGGTTAACTTTGGTCTAAGAATATGAAACATTCCAGATGTAAACAATTCACAAGTTTCAAATTGTACAGCATTCTGAGTAATGTGATGAAATCTTATGCAGTTCAGCTCCATTCTGCCTAAGATGACAAAAAGCCCTCAGTCCTGTGTATCCATGCTATGTAAGTCACTTGCCTGTTAGTGACTTGGTCACGGTTTCAATTATCTGACGGTAGCACTGCAGTGCTCATGTTCAAAGGACTTTTACTTTACTTAATAACTCTCTTATGGCTTAAGAGCAGTGATGCTGGCAATTTGAGCAAGCCAAAGAAAGGTTGTCATAAAGTGCTTCCTTTAAGGCTGAGGATTTAGCTCAGTGGTTCTGCTGCCTGCCTTCCAAGCGCAAGTTCCCAAGTTCGATCCCCAGTACAAAAAAAAAAAAAAAAAAAGTGCTCCCTTTAAGTGAAAATATGAGAATTCTCCACTTTAGGAAAGAATAAAAATCCTATGCTGATGTTGCTAAGATCTATGCTACAATAAGATACTTTGAGAAAGATCACATTCATATAATTTTTATTACAGTTCAGTGGTATAACTGCTGTTTTATTATTATTAATATTAATCTTATTGCGCTTAATTTACACATTAAACTTTACCATAGGTACATAGGTATAGGAAAAACAGCTTATGTAAGGTCAGTACCATCTGTGTTCTCGGGCATTTGGGGGACTGGTGGATAGTATTCCATGTGTAAACAGGGACTACTGTATTGACACTATATGCATTTTTCTAAGTAAAGAGACGATGGGAGCCATGCCAAGAATATTAACTTTCACATATAGCTTTGTTGTTTGAAAAGTGAGCACTTGCTCATTTGATCTTTACTGTATCTCTGTGAGCAAGACAACTGCTCCTGGGCTTAAGTGGAGGAAGCTGAGGCCCTGAGCAGTTAATGGCTGCTGGTTCTACTGGTGAGGTCAGGAGCTGGGCTATCTGGTCCACCCCATAGCCCACAAAGGCTCTCAAGAAGCATCTGGGGAATGTGTGTATAGTCTCAGCCCCTGCATGAGGCAAAGCTGGTTCTGCTCCAATTAAGTACAAGCACTTTAGTGAACAACTCAGATGAGCAAATCCATCTGGAGGGCCTCCCCCAGGCACTAGCTGGCAGAGAGACTTCAGATTATCCATGACTGCGTTCATTGAACCAGGAAGATCTCAGACAAACTCAAATAGAGCACTTTCACATTAGAGAGGTAATGTCACTGATGGCCACAATGGCTCAAGCCCTTTGGACCTGTGTATACTTGAGATGAAATCTTGTGCTGGCTGATGCCTATGTGGGAAAAGTATCACTGAGTAAATCTGAAGGTAAAATAAAATCCTCACGACAAAAGCCAATAGGTTAGAATCAAGAAATGAGATTTGAAGACATTAACAAGGTTATGGGTAAGATTTCTATAGATCTTTTCAGAGTTTATGGGAAAAGACAGCAATCAAAAAATATATGAGATACAGCTTAAGAACCGTAGAACACCTGCATTCTCATGCAGTGCGGCGTGTGGCTTTGGGAAAATGCAGTCATGGAATTGAACAACGCTGTGACACTTTCTCAGTGTGTGGCCCTGGAATATCAATCACACCCCCCTCTTAGCTCAGTTGCTTTATTTTAAAACAGAAAGCCTTTATGAAAATGAGAAATCATGGCACAGTGCCTACTCAGAACAAAAACTCAAAAATAGTACTGTTAATTACACTAATAGCTATAGATGAAAATGCAAATATTCAGAAAGTACAAATACTCAGCCTTTCTGAGTTGTTAATTGTTCAGCTATCTTCCTGGTCACTGGTCTGGGTTTACCAAGCAAAGCAGCAGTGGTAACAGGTGGCTTTCGGGCACTAATCCTGTTCCTCAACTTCGGACAGTCAAATGCAAGACTGGCTGAGTTGGAGGATATCAGTCCACAAGCCAGTGAACCCTGATTCTTCAAAGAAACAAACTTTAGGATATGCACATATTATCCAGCACACCCACCCCACATCTTCTCAGGAGGTTTTTATGCAGATCAAGTGCAAAGTTATGCAACATGTACTCTTCTCCGTCAGTAACCAATTAGATGGGTAAATTAGAAGTCAATTGCAACATTTACAAAAAGATGACTGGATCCTATTTTCACTTCTACTTAGAGAAAAATTTCTATTTTTTTTTCTTTGCTTCTAATGTCCAACTCCCCTAACCAAATCCACAGCCCCTGGAGAGCCAAGGCAGCTCTTCTACTGCAGTTTAACCCAAGGCTCCCAAGTGAAATAAAGTGGCCTCCAGTGACCCCTAGGATTTTATGCCTCATCTTTTCCACTAGTGCAGAAAGACTTAATGAGCCAGGTGTGGTGGCACACACCTGTAATCCCAGCACTTGGGAGGCTGAGGCAGGAGGATCACTGTGAGTTTGAGGCCAGGCTGGGCTACAAAGTGAGTTCAAGGTCAACCTGAACTACACAGTGAAACCCTGTCTCAAAAAACCAGAAAAAAAAAAAAAAAAAAAAGAAAGAAAGGCTCAATGACTAGAGTCAAACAAACAAAAAGACAGTAGAAGTGAGGGGATGTCACTTCCAAGGTTGGGTATTAAAAACTGGCTTCTGTTGCAAGCCCTTTCCTTTGCTCCCTGGAATCTCCATACAACAGGGGAAGCCTGCTGCCCCATGTGAGTGAGCTGTCAAGCTAAGCTCTCGGAGTGAGCCAGGAGGCAGGCATACCTCCAGATGTGTGCAGCCCTGGCCATCAGCTTGACTGCAGCAGGGTGACAGACCTGAGTGAGAAGAACTGCAGTAAGCCACACTCAGATTTCTGACCCTCAATAACAGTGAGATAATGAATGCTCATTGTTTCTAGCTACTAAGTTACTCAGTACCCGACTGAGACCAATGCCGTCACAGTGCGCTTGACCCCGGTCCACTCTTAGCTGCTCCAGATCTTGAGATAACAGCTGGCTCATATTTTTTCATTTGCCAAAAACAGTAAGTGCAAGATGAACAACGATGCTGCTGGAGTTGAACTGACGGGTGTGTGGCAGCTATGCTTCAGCTCACACACGAAGTCTGAATTTGGAATACAATAATCCAAGCAGAGGACCGGGGATTTAGCTCAGTGGTGTTGCCGCCTGCCTCGCAAGAGCAAGGACCCGAGTTCAATCCCCAGTACCAAAAAAAAGGAATCCAAGCAGGAAAATTTACAACTCCGATGTACATGAGATAGTTGGGTTTTTGGCATATAGGTAAGAAACTGCCTAAACTGCTTTCTTTCCTCACTGGGGGTGTCGGGGGTGGGTAGCAAGATAAAGTGCAAGCAAATTCCTGTTCTGAAACAAAGTTACAGTTATTCAAAATTGCTAAGCATTATTTTAAGTGTTTAAAATGTTATAATGTTAACTTTTAAAATTTCCAGTTTACCTTTTATGCTTTAAAAGATGTAAGTTCAAGACTATTTGGAAAAACACAGAGAAAAGTAAGAAAACTAGAAAAACTAGAAAACCAGAATATCAACTACCTGGAGAATCAGGCTTTTTAAAAAAGTTGTAGTAAAAATATATAACACAAAATTTACCACTTTAGCTATTTCTGGAGTATAATTCAGTGACATTTAGTACTAGTACTACATTCACAATGGGACTTGCTGGCCAAAGGTTACAAACAGTAAAATGAAACTTTTGAATAGCTAGTAGTAAAGTACTTCTTAAAATGGTTAACACCACTTAGCCATATTTGAATATATTTGCTTCATTTATTAGTAGCTTTATATATTTAGTTACTTTCTACAAATTTTCTTTTCTTTTCTTTTCTTTTCTTTTCTTTTCTTTTCTTTTCTTTTCTTTTCTTTTCTTTTCTTTTCTTTTCTTTTCTTTTCTTTTCTTTTCTTTTCTTTTCTTTTCTTTTCTTTTCTTTTCTTTTCTTTTCTTTTCTTTTCTTTTCTTTTCTTTTCTTTTCTTTTCTTTTCTTTTCTTTTCTTTTCTTTTCTTTTCTTTTCTTTTCTTTTCTTTTCTTTTCTTTTCTTTTCTTTTCTTTTCTTTTCTTTTCTTTTCTTTTCTTTTCTTTTCTTTTCTTTTCTTTTCTTTTCTTTTCTTTTCTTTTCTTTTCTTTTCTTTTCTTTTCTTTTCTTTTCTTTTCTTTTCTTTTCTTTTCTTTTCTTTTCTTTTCTTTTCTTTTCTTTTCTTTTCTTTTCTTTTCTTTTCTTTTCTTTTCTTTTCTTTTCTTTTCTTTTCTTTTCTTTTCTTTTCTTTTCTTTTCTTTTCTTTTCTTTTCTTTTCTTTTCTTTTCTTTTCTTTTCTTTTCTTTTCTTTTCTTTTCTTTTCTTTTCTTTTCTTTTCTTTTCTTTTCTTTTCTTTTCTTTTCTTTTCTTTTCTTTTCTTTTCTTTTCTTTTCTTTTCTTTTCTTTTCTTTTCTTTTCTTTTCTTTTCTTTTCTTTTCTTTTCTTTTCTTTTCTTTTCTTTTCTTTTCTTTTCTTTTCTTTTCTTTTCTTTTCTTTTCTTTTCTTTTCTTTTCTTTTCTTTTCTTTTCTTTTCCAGTACTAGAGATCAAACTCAGGACCTTATGTTTACCGGATAGGCAAGGTGCCACTGAGCTACATCCCCAGCCCAATTTCTACAAATTTTTTAAGTAAAAAATAGTACTTTAAAACTGAATCGGGCCGGGGATGTAGCTCAGTGGTTTCTTTGCCTGCCTTGTAAGCACAAGGGCCAGAGTTCAATCCCTGGTACCAAAAAACAAACAAACAAACAAAGAAAAACAAAAACAAAAACCCTGAATTAAAATATTTTAAAAGAACAAAGAAGGATAAGTCATTTTTGGTGTTTAATTTTTACCTTGACTCCTTACCTAAAGAAGCGGTAGCCTTTCCAACTACATACACTGACTTAGTGTTCCATTTTTCTTTAAGAGACTTTTCCCAGCCTGTAAAACATGAAATTATATGTGAGTGGTAAATACCAAAGTGTCCATTTGGATTCTGCCAACGACTGCTTGTTCATCCTAAGCAAACCATTAATAACCGACAGCAAAAAATGGGATTTTAGTTGGCCATTGTGGCACATGGGTGTAATCCCAGCACTATGTTGAACCACAGGGACAGGGATCACAAATTTGAGGGGAGCCTGGACTACTCAGTAGGACCCTTTCTTGAAAATAAAATCTCACAAAAAACAAAACCAAAGAAGAATAGCATCTAAAATGAAAATTTCATTTTCACGTTGTTCCTGTTCTGCAAGGAAAATTTAAAAAACCACCAAGGTCAGAATGGTGGCATGGACTCAGGCCTAGGCACCCAAAGAACCTGTGCTGAACACACTCCCTGCTGCTTCCTCACCCTGGGATCCTGCTCCCGAAGGCCTCAGTGCTTTCATCTGCAGAGTGACACCACAGTCTTACGTGTCTCTCTCTGGACTGCTGTCTGGAGCTGAGTGAGACAACGGACGAGAAGAACGTCACACAGGGCCTGATGTATAACAGGCCTTCCATAAACGTTAGCTTGGAGGCCGTTCAAATGAAGTTACAAAGGTGGTCCAGTTAGTGGGCAGTGCCCTTCCACACAGCTGAGAGGGAAGGAGGTGAGTCGAAGAGACAGCTGTGTTACTAAGAACCTGGTATGCTGTGGAACATTTTCTTGTACATTGTTAAATTTCCTCATCAACTATTTGAGAAAAGTGGTATTTGTCCTATTTTCAGAACCTTATACATTCTGAGGGGAGACCTGAATGCCGGGTGAGCAATTATTATTATTTTTTTGGTACAGGGATTGAACTCTGGTCCTTGCGCTTGCAAGGCAGGCGCCAGAACCACTGAGCTAAATCCCCGGCCCAGCAAGCAATTATTTAAAAGTCAGGGAGAGTCTCCCACCCCATCTGTTTGCCAGCTGAGGAGACAGCCCTATTTCCTGTTTCCTGGAAGCATCTGCAGCAGTACCACCATGAATCCACTTTTGTCAGAAGTGGCGCTATCTCTGGAATCTAGTGTCTCTATGGGAGAAGAGTAAACAAAGTCAGAGCAGGCCAGCTCTCACCTTCAGTTTTATTGTCTTTCTCCAGACATAGCTCCACTGCTTCTACTGCTCTGGGGCTGGTAAAAATGAGTCCCCCGTAATCTTCTGGATGAGACAGCTGTACATCAAAATGCAACGAAAGTAACTCCCAAGAAACTATGACCCACAATCCCAAATGCTTCCCACAAGCAGTAGGCAAATAAATTCCTTCCACCCAATCCTTCCCTCCATCTAGCCAACCCCTACCGAGTGCGTACTATGCACCTGGAATTATTCTAGGACTTTTAGAATATGCAGGTGAGTTCATTTTCATTGTGTATGTCTCACTTTATTCAAGGTTTTAGACCTTGAATCTTTTCATTTTGGGGATACTGGGGATCAAACTGAGGGTCTTGGGCATATAGGCAAGCACTCAAAATTGACCTATATCCCTAGCCCAGAACCTTTAATCTGAAACATTTAGAAAGCAGGGCCTGTCCCCTTTCCATATTAGTCACTCCTATCCCTGGCAGCAGAACCAACAGGGTGGACAGAGTCCCAGACCTGCCCCTTCCTGGCTAGGGCCTTGGTTGAGTTATTTAACCTGGAGCTTTTATCTCTAAAATGGGAAAAGAGAGGTTTTAGCTCACTGGTTCCGCCACCTGTCTCACAAGTGCAAGGAGTTCAATCCCTGGTACGAAAATACATAGAAAACTAAAAAATAAAATGGGAAAATACCTGTACAGCTTGCTGCACAGAGGTCAGGGGCAGGGGTGAATTAAGTGAGAATATGAATGAAAGTCCTATAACTGAGAGCCATACAGGCGTGAGGTTCTCACAAGTCCTATTCCTTGGGGCCCATTTCCAAGTCCAGACTGCTTACTGAAGGAGCTGAGAGAGGCTCAGTGAAGAAGTGTAAGCTCCTGCAGTCAGGGAGGCTGTGCAGCTTTTGTGCTCACATTTGGTGGTAAAGGTGGGGTGGGGTCGGGGGAGGCTACCAGAAGGCCTTGCAGCTTGGGCTGGCAAAAGTTGCAGAGTCCAAACATGAACATGGGGACCAGACAGACACGACTGGCTTTACCTTCTCAGCGAAGTTGGAGAGAGACAGAAACTCAAATGATAACACAGGGATCAATATGGCTTCAAGACCATACAATGCTAATTCCTGCAAATGAAAGAAAGTAGTTCTAGGTGGCCCAGTGCTGTTTTGAAAATCAGAAAAGGGTCATGGTATCATCCAAACAATTTATTCCGTGTCAAGTCTGAATTTTAGTAGTTCATTCCCACCACCAGCTCCAGCCCCTTGACTCTGTTAGCAAGGAAGCTCTTGTTCAGGTAGAAGTCTCTGTCACTTACCTTGATATACGGATCCTGGCCACAATCATCCTCCTTTGCATCTTTCAGTAAGAGAACCTTCATTATGACCTGGCTGTCCTTCCAGGGCACTGCGACACAGCAAGAAAACAGATCTTAATTGGATCTCAAAGACTTCCTAAGCAGTGTTGCATGGGGACAGAGCACTAGAAGGAGGTAATCAACTGCTTGCTGAAGAGACCTATCCTTCCCCACAATGACTTAGCGTTAATGGCCCTGTTCTTTCTGAAGACCCTGTCACTGATAAGGCCAGGGGCAAGCATGTTAGCAGTTGATATATCACTTGGAAAGGCAGATGAAAGCCCGTAGGGAAAGTCACAAGTCCTATACCAGACATTATGGCTTACCGAAGAGAAGTACAAATTCTGGGTCATGTCAATAACAAAAGAGAAGCGAATATCGTACATTTAAAATAGATAAAGAAATAAGTATTTGCATTTCAAGATAATTATACTAAGTAGCTTATAAGCACTTTAAGAAATAATTACGTTGAGTGTACTACTTCTCAAATGATATTTATAAATATTGACAAGTGTAATGAGATATCTAACAACCTGGAAACAAAAAAATGTTTTTTTTGATACCGGGATCAGAACCTTGTGCTTGTGAGGCAGGTGGCGGCATCACTGAGCTGAATCCCCAGCCCTTGGAAACAAATTTTGGACATGTATTTAGAACCTTATACATTTCATATCTTTTCTTCTTATGATTTCACTTGTAAGAATAAAAAAGTAGTACTCATAAATGTGTACAAAGATTAACATAAAGATGCTGGTTTTCTCATTCTTTATAATTCCAAAGAACTGGGAGCAATCTAAACATCCAACAATGAGCCAATGCCTAAATAAATCATGGTATGGTGCTAAGACATCATTAAAATATCCATAAATAACCTAACAGCATGGATTATCTAATAAAAATATTGTTACATAAAAAGCACAGGATTCAAAATTATATAAGTAGTATGGTAATTACTATTCGAAAGAATATGCACCAAAATACTAATAACATGGCGTATGCTGTTTTCCCCCTTCATGCCTGCTACACTGGCTTCAGGGAGTTCGGCAGTTTTGTTGCTGTTTGTTTGTTTGTTTTCTGGTACTGGGGATCAAACTCAGGACCTTCAGCTTGCCATGCAGGTGTGGCAGAGTTTGGCATTTTGAGATGCAGTTTGTTGCCTTGTCTTCTTATGTTTCTATTATTTGGTTTGGTTTGTTGTGTGATGAGGTTTGTGACCACTCACAAAGACCCTGTTGCTAGTACAGAGATCTTAGTTGCTCTTTAGTGACGTACTTATGGTGTGGCTAACTGTAATCCTTTGCCTTGGTTCCCAAGATGTGACCACCTGGCTTAATTTGGGAGGAGAGGATGCAGAGTAATTAGTCAAACACTGAGTTCTCTGGGAATGTATTATTAATATCACAAAGATAATCTGAGTGTAGGTTTACAGAGAAATGGCAACCCTGGTAATATCAACAAGTCAGCTACAGTAGTATCATCCAGGACAAACTGGTTACTAACATATAAAAACCAATTATATAACATGCCCGACCCTGGAGAAAAAAACCCCCAATTATGGTGGAAACATTAAGACAACCCAGGTATTAACAGCTAATATGTATTAAATAGCTGAATCTCTGTTAATGGTGAAAAATAGTTTAATAGTTTATAGAGTTAACCATCAAATGGTTAATAAAGTTTTATGGTTATACTACTAAAGATACAGGGTTTGGGAGCAAGAAGAAAAATTTGAAATCTTAAACTAAATGATATAAGGAAGAGGGAGACAAGGTACAAAGGATCCTATGGGGGAGTTTATAGAATTAGGTGAAGGTAAGAGAAAAAATTGATGAGAGATGTACAAAAGAAAAAGAGGGAGAGAAAAATTAAATGGAGGTGTAAAAACAAGAACAAAATAAAGAGAAAAATTAAAAGGGAGAAATGGAAAAATAAAAGAAAAAGATATAAGAAGCAAGGAAGAAGGCTAAGGAAAAATTCCCAAATCCCAATAAAGTGATGAAGAAAGGAATTAAGGGGGGGGGGTCACCACTTGCAAAAACAAAAATCAGACCAAACCAAACCAAATAGAGATAAATTTCTCTGTGATTTTGAATGTGTGGTTTTCTTCTGGGATCTACAATTTTGGGGAAATGTCCTGCTTACACTGGTTAAAAAAAAAAAAAAGGCAGTCAGTCAGACCCCAGATCCACGCTGGATGAAGGCACCAGCAGGCAGTAGGATTAGGACGAGGCAGACGATGTCACGACTTCAAATTCAGAGCAATTCTGGCTGAGCATGGGGTCTGGCCATGGGTTCAGGGCTGTGTCCTGTAGCTCAAACCCCACAAGGGGTCTCTTTCTAGCTGACAGCGGTTCCCTGTCTACCGCTGTCTCCCACGCAGTCTCTGTAGAAACGTAAGATTACGAGCACTGAAGTGCGGCCAGCAGTGACTCCTCTGAGTCCCGCCGACCATTCCCCAGAGTGATGTCTGACCAAGCATTCTCTCCAGGGATGTGGTGGGCTTTTGCGCTAGAGTCCTTCACCAGCTGATGCCAGTTGAAGGACTCATGTGGGAGCAGAATCCCATGCTTTCCCTGCTGCTCTCAACATCCAGTCTGGTCCATGGTCGTGTTTCTCCCTAAAGCCCTTTGGAGTCCCCAGCTTTCACTCTGTAGTCTCGGTCTCCCTTTCCCTTGTCCAATGAGCCAGAAGTCGGGGAGAAAGTGCAGACTGACCCTTCCCTTCTCTATGCTGTGTTCAGTCTCTTTGATTTCTCTGGAGATTTTAACTGCCCCATGAGGTCCTTCCTATTTGCTAGGGATCTACTCTCTCTTTCTTCCTCAGGTTGTTCTTTTCCAGTGTCTGGACTGCAAATCTCAGATAGGCTGATCTTTGCTTATCACTTCACCAATTTTCCCAGAAGCTCTGGTGATGGTCACTTTTATGTGGCACCTTGGCCAGGTTAGTTCTTGGTTATTTACAAATGCTTGTGTGGGTGCTGCCATTTTGGAGATATGATCAAGTGTGTCATCAACAGGCTCTTGTAAGGGAGATTACCCAAGATAATCTGTGTAGTCCTTAAGAAGAGGACAGCAGAGCAGAGGCTCCCCCAGGAAGAAGAGATGTCACTGGTGGACATGCAGCTTTGGCTCCAGCTGAGCTCCAGCCTGCCCTTGTTGGTCTGTACTGTAGATCTAGACTGGCCTTGCCAGCCCCTACAGCCTGCACATGCCAATTCCTGGCAGTAAATGGCGTATATATCAGAGCTTCCTGATTCTGTCTTTCTGCTTGACCTGTGAATAATATACCTTTCAGTGGGAGCTTGATGAATATGGGGTATCACAAATGAGGAGTAAAACGTGGTATTGTCTGCTGAAGCATAAATTCTAAGGCTCCCGTAGCAACTGATGTGGTGATTAGAGGGCTGACGCATAATGCTGAGGGAAACAGGTAAATCCGTGGCTTCAGAGCTCTACTCCGACCTTTCTCTTGTCTCCAAGACAATGGTTGCGGGCTCTGGCACAGAGATCCCTGTGATTTCAAAGGATATTTTACTAATGCTTTCAAATATCAGGAGCCAATCTCTCATATAAATGTTTCTATTTAGTTTTCAGGCAGTGACACCAAATCTCATGAGCAGGTATTTCCTTCAGGGAAATTAGGTCTGCATATTTACTGGGAATGTGTGTGATAATTTCAGGTACTAAAAGTGCTCTGAGGTGATATGAATAACTTGGGTGCTGAGTATCTTTCTGGGGAGATCCCTCTGGGGAGGTAAGATCTCTCTGAGGTAAGATCCGAATGATAACAGCAGTGAGAAGAAATGTTCAAGTGTCTCCAGGACAGAAGTATAGTGTGGCTCAAGTGTAATGGACACTGGGTCTCCTGAAGAGAGAATCTTCTGAAAAGTGTCAGCCATGTCAGTGATAGGATCCACACCTTAGAAACACCACAGATTGGGTTGCTCTCATGGCTCTCTCCTCCAGGATATAGTTACGGACTATTTCACAATGCAGTGAGACTCTAGTCAGGCTGGCAGAAAAGCATCGTTCTCGATAAAGTTGGTCAGACACATCACGATCTCATGCAGACCTGACTTTCATACACCAACATTTTAGACTGGTTATGCATCACACAAACAATGATGCAGAGGTAAAAAAAAAAAAAAAAAAAAAAAAAAAAAAAAAAAAAAAGGAAACACCACAGGTTTGAGTAGCAAAGCTGGACAGGGATCCAAGGGCCACAGCAGATTAGGTGAAAGAGTCTCTGGTTTGGATCGGAATAGTGAAAGGGGAGTAGGGCGTGGCAAAGCTGGCTGGGGAAGTAGGTGAGACCTGTTAATTATAAGACCTCTTTAGGTTCTCAATAGTATGGTCTAGACCTGACCTCAGCCTGAGGTGTTCGATCCCAGCACCACCTCTCAGGACCCGTATGTAGAAGTTCTCAGAGGCTTCCTCGAGATTTGGACAGCATAAAGGACTGAGCCACAGGAAGAAGTTGCTAACGTGGCTTTTCCTCACAATAGCTCATCCTGCTTTCTCCAGTGTTCCCTCCTCTAGCTTTTCCCTCTTTTACTCAGCCCAAGCTTGCTTTGCAGAGCCAGATTCTCCCCAACTCTTCACTTTTTCAAATATACTCTGCCAATACTTTTAGCTTGTTTCATTTAATTCTTTGTTCGAGAGGAGAAGAACCTGGAATCTGACTCCAGAAGGAGAGGTGAGCAACCCAGAACCCAGTAACATTTAGTTGGTGAGCCATCTCTAATTTAGAAGCAGGCTAATGTTAGCAGCACTAGTTTGAGCATCTAAGTGGCTGGATCAGAGATTCATACTGAGGACAGAGTTACTGGGACTTATTGACAGAATTCTGGGTGAAACCATATGCTCACAGCTTAGTCTGAAATGGTTAGACCAGGCTGAAGACAAATGCCTTTTTTCTTTGAAACTTTGAACTTTTTAGGTTTATCCAGTTTAATCCTATCATTTAGTCAACAAATATTTACAGAATAGTAAGTGCAGTAGGCACTAGGCGTACCATATAATCCTAGCACCATGATATTTATAGGAATATAAAAGTCATTTTACAAAACTGTAAATACAACAACATAGTATTGGGCAGTAAGTCTGCTCCGCTCCCCACAGTGCTGAAGATTGAGACTAGGGACATTCTACCACTGAGCTACATCCCCGGCCCCTTTAACTTTTATTTTGAGACAAGGTCTCCATAAGTTATCCAGTCTAGCCCTGAACTTGTGATCCTCCTGCCTCAGCCTCCTAAGTATCTGGGATTATAGGTATGCATTATTGCACCTGGTTAGAGGCAGTAAGTCTTAGGAAAGAAAAATCAAGATGCTGTGGAAGCGTACCTGGCAGGCGTGGTGCAGGCTGCCAGCTGTGCCCAAATTCTCCTCTTCCTTCTCGTTCACCAGAATGGAATCCCTCGTTATTACCTGGGCACTTGGTTGCCTAAAATAAAAATGTGTACCTAGATCTTGCCCAGTGACTCGCTTCTATCCATAGGATGGAAGATGAAGTGATGTGGGTCCTGTCTTTAGCAGGAATTACTGGTCCCTCCCAGTCCTCTTTCTGATTTGCTTGCTGGCTGGATCAGGAGTGGGTTGGCCAGGCCCATGGTACTTCACTGGGTGACCTAGAGATGATGAAACAAGATGGAAGTATGGAGCCCGCTGTGTAGTAGTTGCCAACAATGTGGCCAGCACTTTACAGTGGAGAAAAGTAAAGGCTTATCCATTGTTCATTGAGATCTGTTAGGCAGCTGAACCTATATCCTAACTAATGCAGGGGGGAGAGAGACATCCTTGAGCAAGTAATGTTTAGACCTTGACTTGAAGTCTGAGCGGGCGTTAGCACACTGCAGAAGCTCGGAGGTGGGTGTGGCTATGGACTGGAGGTAGGAGGTAAGTCTCAGCTGGCAAGTGCAAGGCAGCGTGCTAGGTGATGGGGCAGGCGGGCAGGGGCTGGAGTACTGAGTCTTACTAGGTCACATCTGGGAGTTTGGATCTTCTTGTTTACAGACTTACTGCTCCCCTTTTCATTTCTGCTTGACCTTTTATGCCTAATTTTTTGTTCCAATTTTAGTATATGCTGCCGAAGTGAGCACTATGCCTAACTTTTTTATGCAGATAATGTAAGATAGGAAGTGTGGTGTTGGAGAATAAGCACAGGATTAAGGGCCAAGGAATCTGGGCTGTGGTCCCAGCTTTATTATTCAGCATGGTTGATCTTCTTTTCTGCCACATTAAATGGAAAAAGCAAAACAAAAGTGTCTCAAAGATAATAATGACAGCTAACATACTTACTACCTACCAGGTTTTACATGCATTAAATCCATGAGGTTTACGAGGACGCTGAGGTGTATGGAGGATGACACTCATCCAAAGTCTCAGAACTGTTAAGCTTTCAGACTCATGGCAGTCTGGCCTCAAATCCTGTGCTCTCAACTCTCCTTTCTATATGCCATCACTCACATATTTTTGCATGCAACATTTGGGAAAATAGAAGTATGATGATATAAAGCATCACTACAGTATAAAACAGTGAAAATTATACCAATATGTGAAAGCACTATCAATCTACCCACTGAGAGCAGAAAAAGATTTCCCTGAGTTCTATCAGGTAATAAAATCAGTGGTAGCATGAAGCCCAGTTTCTTTTTCTTTTCTTTTTTTTTTCTAGTTTCTTAACAGTAACAGAAGAGATTCCCTGACGAGTGCTGCAGACCCAACAATAAAATCAAATTACTTTCCTTGTCCTTCTTCTGCCACCACTGAAAGCAGCTCCAGTGTGAAGTTAACAGATCCACCACTGATGGTGCTTCATCCTGCTCAGTCCCATGTCATGGGCTGACCAAGACAGACGCTGACTGATAAGCACACACAGATAATCAGGTGAACGCAGCATGTGTTGGAAGAGGATGGTACAGGGAGGAGTTTGTACAAGGGGCCGAGGCCTGGGTACTGGTCTGGCTTGTTCTTCCCTTAAGTCTCAGTTCCTGCATCCCTGAAACACGCTGGAGGCCTCTCAGTTGTGAGCTTTTCTTTCCCATAGCAGAGACTTAGTAGATACTCATTTGTATTAGTAAATTCTCACTGTGAGAAAGCCACACTTCTAAATTTACCTAGTATCGATGAAATGGAAATGATTACTTTTCATTAAAAAAAAAAGAAAAAAATGTATCAGTCAGATATAAAGTGGCAGTAAAGCCACTCTGATGCTAAGAAAGAACCAGGCCTTAAACCCGCACATCCTGAGTCTTGCTGCTCTGAGTATCAGCAGTAAGAACGGGCATCCTTTAACTAAGCACTTTCTGTGCTGTTTACTTGGTGTATTAAGGTTCTCCAGAGAAACAATACCAACAGGATATACCTGTTATCTATAAAGAAATTCATTATGAGGTAATGACCACAGAGGCCCAAGTGTCCCAAGAACTACCATCTGCAAGCTTGGGATACAAAGCAAATTCTGAGATGCCTTAAATTTAATTAGAAAGACCAGAAGTTGGATGGGGAAAAAGATAAGAAAAGTTAATCAGTTACTATCTACTAGCTCAGACCAACAAGATTATTCCACATTTCTAAATGTTAAAACCTTGACTTAAAAGCCCTGGGGTGCTGCTATGGTGTCCTGTTTATGTATAAATTTTCTGGACTATTAACCCCAACCAATCCAGAAGCAGAGTACTTCACTTTAAGGAATGTCCTCCTATTTCAAAACTTTCCCTATTCATGTTATCCTGCTCTTATTTAGAGCCAATGTAGGTCAATGTAAACAATTTATGCTTTCCTTCCCCAAATTTTCATTATAAAAATGCTCTTGCAGACATTTTTCCAACTGTTATCTAGCCAGCCTTGCTGCTGGTACCTGCAGTTTGCTCTAGGAACTGCCCTTTTTGGCCAATATTAGTAAAGGCTCCACAGCCCTTTATTTCAGAGAATCCTTGATCTCAAAATTTTGGGTTTAACAGGAGAGACCCAGGAAAGGTAGTGGTATATTATGAAGGGCTGGGGGCTGATAGTGTAGATTCCAGTGCAAGTCTGAAGACCCGTGAACCAGGAGCACCAAATGCAGGCAAGGGGCAGAGTTTGAATCTTTCCCTCCTCCTCCACCTCTCTGTTCCACTCAGGCCTTCAGTGGACAAGATTATGCCTATCTACTTTGGGGAGGGCCATGCACTTTACTGCTTATGGATTCAAATGCTAATCTCTTCTGAAAACACCCTCATACATACCCTCAAATGTTTAACCACGTATCTGGGCATCCAATGATCCACTGAAACTGACACAAAACATCAACTATCTGGGCTAAGCGTTTTATGTGCAAGATTGCAATCCCACTCAAATCTGCAAGGTAGGTACTATCATTCTTAGAAGATGGGAAACCAAGGCTCTTGGAGATGGGAAACTTGCTCAAGCTCATTTAGCATTGTAAGTGGCAGCAACAGAATCTGAATTCAAGTCTAAAGCCCATGTTCATTCTCCTATTCATTATCACCTACTTTTAAGATAAATTCTGTGCTAAAGACTGAACCAGTGGTAATCGATTTAGTCCCTAAGTTCCCTGGAATCAGTATTGTCTTCTCTTCTCTCTCTTTTTGGCACAGGGTTTTGCTATGTAGTTGATTGGTTGGAACTTGGGATCCTCCTGCCTCAGCCTCCCAAGTGCTGAGATTACAGGCACGAGGCACTATGTCTAGCATGTACTGTACTTTTTTTTTTTGATACAGGTATGCACTACCACTGTCTGTCATGTATTTTCTTGACCATAAAAACTGTGGCTGGGCCATTTGCTATTTTAATTCACATCCTGACCGTAAACTCAATATTAGGAACTAAGGGCACAAAAGGCTTTTCCTTTCTTAGCAAAGCTGTATATACTCATCCAGATTGACAAACTACAAAAAAAGCACAGTGCCTCAAAAAATTAAAAATAGAATTAACCATATGATCCAGCTATTCCACTTCTAGATATATAACCTAAATAACTGAAAGTAGGGACTTGAAGAGATATTTGTACACTCGGGTTTTGGGGCAACATTATTACAATAGCTAAAATGTGTAAGCAAACCAAATATTCGCTGAAAAATAATTCATTGGTATTATTCAGCCAAGGATGGAAATCCTTACACATGAACGCTGCTCTAAGATTCCATTATATATAGTTTCTAGAGTAGTCAATTCATAGAGATGGAAAGTAGAAGTGTGGTTGCCAGTCTGTGTATAGGGGAAGAGGGAGGAGGGCTGAAGACTTATACTTTGTAGGGTTTTTTTTTTCTTTTTTGCAGGACAAAAAGTGCTAAAGAGATGGATGGTAGTACATGTGAATGTACTCACGTTACTTAAAGTGTGAGAAAAATGGTAAATTTCATGTTCTGCATTTTTTACCACAATAAAAAGTATAAATAGGGAAGAAATGACTCATGATATCTCAATGACATATTTGTATGGTGCTGAGTCTTTTTCCCCTAATCTTAGCCTTTTAATAGGTATACATAATGCACAGTTGTGGGACTTGTTATGGCTCTTTTAAGCCATTCCATCACGTGGAGCCTTGATGTGTAAGTACTTTAATATGTATGGCACGGACCTCAAAGAAACCATCAGGGTCTCAGGGGCTCCTGATCTTTGAGAAGGCTTCTGCTTCTGACCACTAGGGGCAGTTCATTCTGATTTTAGAATCCAACATCCAACCCACTACTTTTAAACTGCAAACAATGGGAATCCATAGATCTCATTCTCGGAAAGCTGACGTTTCCTCTAATTAATGACCTTCTTTCTATATATCTTTAAAATAAGATCAAAATTGGTAGTCCGTAGGATAACCTGACTAGCAGATCCGATTTCTGTGGTACGGGCTTTATAAATAAAACTATTTCTAGCAAAAATGCAGAATTCCAGCTTCTCTTTTCTTTTTTTGGTACCGGGAATGGAAGTCGGGACCTTGCGCTTTTGAGGCAGGGGGCGGAACCCCTGAGCTAAATCCCCAGGGCCAGCGTCTCTTAAAATAGATCTGACAGCCCTGAAGCGGTACTTCCACTTGATCACAGCTGATGGCAGCTGAGGCGCACACATTCTCTTGTGTATCACACCCTCTCTTCAATTCCTCCTTCAAAACAGGCTCAGGCCTTTAATTTAGACTACTGTACTCTTCCCCTCTAAAGCACCGAAGATCTCCACGTCTACTTAAAAAGGACTCTGAGAGCCTCGAAAGGCCAGTCTTAATCTGCGCGGGGATATGCCAGGATTCGCTGACCTTCAAACCGGGACCGGCAGCGAGCCTGGGGCCCTGGCCTCACTTTGTCACTTATCGCTAGAGCCCTGCACGTCCGCAAGCCTGTGTCTGCATCAGTACAGTGGGCAGCGACACCTACCTCGCGGGACTGACGAGGCCTCAAAGGGCTAAGAGGCGGGACCCTGCCCTGCACGATGCTCCGCAACGTCAAGGGGCAAGATCTCGCAGTCCCAGAAAACAAGCTCCAGGGGGAATGACAACAGAATTGGAGCCTGTCACCACTCAGGCGAACTGCAGGACTATACTCGGCGTTCAGCACCGCTGCGCGGATCTTGGACCCCGGAACGCACCTTGGTGGGCGATCCCGCATGCGCACAGACATCCTCAGGCCGGAAGGACCCTGGTTAGGTAGATCGAACCACTGTATGAAGTGTGGGGGGGAGACTTGGAGGAAGTGAGAGGGGCTGGAGGGAAAAAAGAGCCAGGATAGATCCTTTAAGATGGACAGAACCCTTCAATATCTTGGCTAATATTGCATCAGGGGTACTTGGGTTGACATCGATTTAACGCCGAGAATTTTAGTAGTCTTCCAAACCTTCGGCTAGTATGGATTAGTCCGGAAGGTTAAAGGGTGAAATTTGCGCAGGCGCAATGTGGGCGGCAACATGGCGTCTCGGGCGAAACGGAGAGCTGTGGAGAGTGGGATCTTTCGGCCGCAGGGTGCCCAGGTCCATTGCAAAGAGGAAGAGGAGGAAGATGAAGTAGAAGACGAGGATGAAGACAATGAAGACAGTGACGAAGAAGAGGACGAAGACGACGAAATCGTTGACGAGGTGAGAATGACATGCTACCCATTTTGGTTTATACGTGAGGAAATACTTTCTGATAGTATAAAAGCGGTATGATGATCCCGTGAGCTGCATAGGGTGGTGACTTCTTTATTTCTGAGGGTTAGTAAGTAGAACCTGGAGATAATAAATACTTAAAGCCGGGCGTGGTGGTTCACGCCTCTAGTCACAGCACTCTGGGAGGCTGAGGCCGGAGGATTCCAAGTTCAAGGCCAGCCTGGTCAATTTAGGGAGTCTGTATTCGAGAATAAAGTAGGGTTGGGGACGTAGCTCTGCATTCCCTGAGTTCAGTCTTCACTACCACCAGCACCCAAAACAAACCTTCAATAAACAACCGGGAGTAGGATACTTTTTCATTTTCCTGAAGGTTTCCTGCTGTTCCGTAGTCTTTTCAAGTGATTTTCATTATTGAACTCGGGCCCTTGCGCTTGCAAGGCAGGGCACCGAACCGCTGAGCTAAATCCCCGGCCCAAATAATTTTCATTCCGAAAAACTTTTCTTTCCTTGTTTAGATCATAGATAAGCTGTATTTTCTACCTCCCTAGAACCGTTGACATAGTTAGGTAGTTTTATTTTATTTTGGTACTGGAGATCGAACTCAGTTCCTTCTGCTTGAAAGGCAGGCGGCACCACTGAGATAAATCCCCAGCCCAAGTGGTTTGATTTTATGGACTCATAGAACTGAGTTTTGCTCTTCAGAATAGTTACTTCCTGCCAGAGTAGTACCTGGCATTACAGGCCCTTATTTGCTGGATAAATAATTAAGACTGAGTGATCCTTAAGGCTGTTGAATATATTAAGTAGATGCCTCAAATTTAACTGCCCAAAGCAGAGTTTGTAATCCATGCTTCTCCTACATCACCATTTCTTTAAATGGTTCCCAATTTATTAGTTGTTCAGACCCCAAGCCTCTGAGTTAACTTTTATCTTTTTTTGGGGGGGGTACCGGGGATCAAACTCTGGACGTTGTGCATGTGAAGCAGGCGGTGGAGCCACTGAGCTAAATCCCCGGCTTGATTTTCTTTTTTTCTTTTTTTGGTACCGGAGATCAAACTCGGGTCCTTGTGCTTATGAGGCAGGTGCTGGAACCACTGAGCCAAATCCCCAGCCCTAACTTTAATCTTAATCTCCCCATTTTCCTCTTCCCACATCCAGTTCATTAGTAAATCCCACTTAGCTTTACCTTCAGTACCCATTCTCATCCACAACTTTATCTCTTGCCTGTACTACTCTAATAGCTTTTAACTAGTTTGCCTTTTCCATTCTTGTCCCTCTATGAATATTTATGACCAGAAATCGTTTTTTAAGTCCACATATGTAAATACCAAATAGTTTCTCTGGCGTGAAAAACTAAAAGTGTAAATAAGATCCAAATGGTATAATTGAATGTGAAATATTCTAATAGCTTTTAACTAGTTTGCCTTTTCCATTCTTGTCCCTCTATGAATATTTATGACCAGAAATCGTTTTTTAAGTCCACATATGTAAATACCAAATAGTTTCTCTGGCGTGAAAAACTAAAAGTGTAAATAAGATCCAAATGGTATAATTGACAATGTGAAATAGGAAGAAAAGGGCTAAAGGTGTAGGGGAAGTGGGAAGGGTAGGAGAAAGGAAATAAGGGAAAAGAAAAAATGTGAGAAAATGAAAAAATGGATAAAAAGTATTTGTAAATAGGGAAGGGAGGAGGGGGTGAGGGGAGGGGAGGGTTATGGGGAAGAAATGAGAACCAAGACCTATCATATAAAGATACAAGATTCCAATGATGAATGTAACTGTACTGTATACCTAAAAAGTACCAATAAACTGAATGAGAAAAAAAAATCATATAAGTCTGTTCTCACTCCTGTTCAAATGCTCCATGGGCCTCCTATTTTATTTTTAAGAAAAGTCTACATCCTCTTGGTTGAGGGACAAAAAGTAGCTAGAGAGCCAGGCAAGGTGGTGCATGCCTATAATCTAAGCACTTGGGAGGCTGAGGCAGGAGGATCACTCTAAGTTCCAGGCCAGCCTGGGCTACATAGTGAGTTCAGGGCCAGCCTGAACTACAGAGGGTGACCCTGCCTCAAAAAAACAAAAAACAAACAAACAAAACCCCAAAACAAAGGTAGCTAGTGGCAGGGTCAGAATAAGCGAGAGATGGGAAATAAAGTCACAGAGATAAGCATGAGACAGAGTGAGCGTGGAAGGGAAGACATGGAGAAGTGTGGATGCAGCATTAAGATGAAACTGTGGTGTGGGTTTGTGATACTTCTTGTCTGCATTAGTTCTTTAGTTTGGCTTCTTCCCTTGTGTGACTTCACTGCTATTTGTCCCTTAGTTTATGTGCTGCCAAACAAGCATATCCATTTTTCACTTAGAAGAACTTTTAACTGGGTGTTTTACTAATTTTAAATTACAGAAATCATCACTTCTTGCGTTAACGTGAAAAATCAAAGACTGCCCGTGACTAAAAACTTGTGTGCTGTAATAACTACCACTGGTAGTGTAGAGAAATAGGCACATACACTCTGAGTGGGAGTGTAAATTGGTGCAGTCGCAGTGTCTTCGGAGGATAATTTAAAGTACCGCTCATCCACAGCTATTTTTTTTTTTCCTTTTGTATTGGGGCTTGAACTCAGGACCTTGTGCTTGTGAGGCAGACATGGCACCACTGAGTTAAATCCCTGGCCCCACAGCTTGTTCTGCTGCATAGAAAACCATGAGAATTTGGAAATTCAAAATCAGCTTCAGATTTCTTTGAAGCAAGATGGTTTATAAGTTGTAAGAAAATGTATTTGGTTTTTGAAAGTCCCAAAGAGCCTAATTTAAAGGATAAGGTGAGGTACTTGGCTGGGCGGCAACAGAAGTAGCAGCCTTCAAGAATTTCAAGGAGGAGAAGTGGTGTGCATAATCTCAATTGTAACTTGATTGGCTTGAGAAAAGGCTCGATTAATAAACCACACTTTGTGTGTGTCTAGTGAGTCGTGGAGACGTGACCTTGGGGATTATATCTGGCCCCTGGCCCCTTCCTGTCTGGCCCCCTTTCCCTGTGTGCTTTCTGGCCTCCATGAAGCGAGCTGTGTCCTTTTGTGATGATGTCTCTGCCTTGGAGCCCGCAGACCATCTACCAAAACCTCTGAAACTCTAAGTCAAAATAAACTCCTTCCTTAAATTGCAGGTGTGTTATTTTGTCAGTGACAGGAAAGTTAACCAGTAAAGGTGGGGATAGTGAAAAGATGTGAAGAAAAGGAATAGGCATGCTTCATTAAGGCTCTTGTGAATATGTAGTTAGGACTCTTATTTTATGCTTAATAGAAACCCTGGGAGAATAGCTTCAGCAGAAAGGGGAACATGTGATGAGATATTGTTATCTTATATTCCTTCAGGGACTGGAAAGCAGCTTAGTTTCAGGAACAGACTGGGCCGCTGAGCCTACGTTGCTATTGAGAACCTTGGAGGTCTCACATTTTTCACCTTTGCTCTTCTTTCCTCTGTTACATTCATTCAAAATACTTGTTCTTCTACTTCATGTAACAATAAAAAATGCCAGCTGCTCCCGAGATATTCAAGAGGACAAGAAGGCTACACACTAGTCTTAATTTTAAATTCTAAATCACCTAGGGTAGGGGAGTCACAGCCGTCACGTGAAACTGGATGAACAGAAGCTGCATGCAGGCAAAGGAGTGTGACAGACATTCCATTTGGAATCTATTGGATTGGCTGTGCCGTAATAGTCTAGGATATTGATCTGAAGCTTCTATCTAGATAAGTAAAAAACACTAGAAGAGCGTTGTTTAAAGAGTTTATTTAAACGCTCACTGGGTTTGGTCTTCTCCCCGTGGTCCTGACCTACCCACCGTGAGCAAGAGAATCGGGACTGGTTTGGGGGTGTCCTGTCTGAGTGGACACTGGACATCACGGTTTTCAGTACAACAAATGACACTGCTTGTCCAGTGCAACTATCACTGAAAATTCCTTTAAAAATTAGCACGTAGTTGCTTAGAGTTGAGGAATTGACTTTTTTACCCTACAGAAATTAAAAAATAAGTAAATAGACAAAAAAGAATTTATTTCTAAGGAATTAATTCAAGACCTGAAAAATGACAATTACTCGGTTTAGTTCAATCCTTTTGGAACGCCTCCATCCAAATTACTATCTGCACAATCTGGCTGATCCTATTTTGGAGAGTGGGATTTGAATTCTGCCGTCTGACCCTGATATCCAGGCCCTGGCAAGTTAACAGCAAGAGAGCACTTAAATATATGTGTAGTCAGGATAGCAAGGCCAGTGTAGGTCTGATTTCCTCTGCTAAGTCCTTCCGCTAAGACCAGATCCCAATACTTGAAGTGCATAGATGCTATTTTATCAGGACTGGGCACATTCAGTGATAAAGGTATGATTAGGGTGGCCGAAGACTAATCTTGTGGAACATTTAAAAGCATCTAAAGTTTTATTTTTGGCATGAAGTAGTAGTTTCATTTCTTTGTGGGCTGTTTGAGTAGCATCTTTTAGATACTGTTTTACAGAGGTAAATAAGGGAGTCCAGCTACATACACCTTCTAGTCACTTGGACTGATCCTATTTTCCCCTGCTTTCAGAGCTTAGCAGATGCTGTTGTCTGTTCCAGGAAACCTCTTGCTTTAGTTGCCAGCTTAGGCCACTTCTTTAAGGATTCTTTTTCAGACTTTGATTTTCTGTTTTTTAAGTTGTTACAGTACAATGTACCTTTTTTTATTGGCATATACAGTTGCAATTTTACATTTATTTCCACGAGTGTCTCCTTAGTGTTTGTATTCCCACCTAAGCCATGTTTCTATGCGCAAGATCATTCATGTCTGTATTGCTCACTGTTTCATCTCAAGTGCTTGGTATCTGTTGATAATAAATATTTGCTAATGGCTGGGCATGGTGGCACACACCTGTAATCCCATCACTTAGCACTTAGGAGGGTGACGCAGGAGGATTGCCTTGAGTTCAAGGCCAGCCTGGGCTACGTAGTGAGTTGAGTACCTATACTTTTTTTTTGGTATTGGGCATTAAACTCAGGTCCTTGCGATACATAGTGAGTTTAAGCCTAGCTTGAGCTACATAGTGAGACCCTGCCTCAAAATTTTTTTTTTTTTTTTTTTTTTGGCTAAGTGAATGAAGTGTATCTTCAAATCCATAGGCTCTAATCAAGTTCTTGGCAATTCCAGGGACTTTTGGTGTGATTTTATTCTTTACTCTTTTTGCTGCCAGGAAAATGATAATACTCCTTTGTGGCTGCTGTGACTATTTGATCCAGACTAGACTTCCTAAGTATCTAAATGAAGTCATTCTGAGTGATTTGTTCCTCTCAGGCTTTTGTGTCACATTGAGGTAATAGTGTGACTATCTTTTGTAATCTGTGCAGGTGGCAGTCTTTGCCTGTTTTGAAACCTGGACATTTATAGTTATTCAGATAACATTTTCTTATTATTGTCTCTTTTTGTTTGTCCCCTTGGCATCTTCTGTAGATGACAAAAACCTAAAGGAGTGGAAGTTGAAGAAAAAGAAAAAAATTGCAAAGTGGAAAGTACTGCCTGAATCATTTATATATGACAATCTATTTTGTATATTCTTTACAGGAAGTGAATATTGAATTTGAAGCTTATTCCATCTCAGATAACGATTATGATGGAATTAAGAAATTACTGCAGCAGGTATTGTCTTTCACATGTTAAATATAAATTTGCTCTTTTAGGAAAGTTAAGGCCGTTTCATATAAGCTTTCTCAGAGTTCATCCTTTTAGAATTCCTCTCCCTTTTCTGCAGTTTATTAGGAAGGATTGTTTCTCTTTTTTTCCAGGGGTAATCCTCTATTTATACCACTGCTACTAGATTCTTTCCCCTGATTAATATGTTCAGTTTTTTTGTGTCCTAAAAGCCCTCCTTGAGCTCCTGTCACATCCAAACTTAGTGAATTACAGTTCTTACAGTTATATTATTGACTGCAGTTTTGTGCTGCAATCATTGTTGCTGACTCGACTTATTCTTTTATACCATATATTCTTTTTTTTTTTTTTTTTTTTTTTTTTTTTTTTGTGTTTTTTGT